AACCATGACTGTGACTACTATTCAATGCTGCCCTCTGACATACCAGCCAATGTTCTAGAAAACCATGGGGACTCCTACAAAACCATTCGAAGTCACCTGGCCCCATAGCTGGAAGACTGTTAAGTTCCAAGCTTCCTCTGAAACAATCTGATAACCCCTAAGAATGTCTTCCCTACTCCTGGCCTAGAGGGGTTATCAGGAGTCTGTAGGTGACTCTCAAAGCAGGAAGGTCTCTCAAAGGCAGGTTAGTCAGGGCCACTGGGAGAAGGAGAGCCGCCCTCCATCCCCCACCACTCCTTGCTGAAGTGTGGTCAGGGGCAGCCAAGTTGGGCCTGAGGGCCAAGTGGACCCCAAATGGGAAGGAGAGTAGCTTGTCTGGTTGCTAGGACGGCAGAAGGGCATAGCAGGAATGTGGCAAGACTGACACCCTTGAAGGTACCAGAAGGCCTATCACCTTAGGCTTCTGGCAGAGACAGCTGGTAATATTATTATCATTAGTAGTAGCTACCATTTACTGAGCGCCTACTGTGTGCCAGACCTGGCACTTAGTTCTTTACATAGATTATCTCATGTAATCATTGTACAGACCCTAAAGAGGTCACTATTATCATTCCCCATTTTACAAGTAAGAAAACCAAGGCTCAAAGAGGTTAAATCAGGCGCATAGCTTGGTACATAGCTCATAAGTGACAAGTGCCATCCACACCACTTCTGCTTTTTGGCCTCCAGCTATGGCTGCTTTCTCCAAGGCTCTTCCCCTTCTGTCCTGTGCAGGTGGGGAGAAAAGGGAGAGAGGCCCAGTGTGTATTTCGGTTCCCCTTGCTTTCTCTGCCTGTGCCCCTGGCCCTCACACCCCTTTCTTGTTGCAGGAAGGTGAACAAGTGCTACCGGGGCCGCTCCTGTCCCATCATCGTGCACTGCAGGTGGGTGAGAGAGGCTGTGGGGTGGAGGTGAGGACAGCATAGGATGAGAGGCCCTGGACCAAAGGGCCTTGGGATGGGCCTTCCTGACTCCCTACCCCCAGTCCTACTTCCTATATGTGTCTTCCGTGCACACTGCCTGTCTGTCCCCTTGATGCCAGCAAGCCACAACCCATGGGCCAAATCTGGCACACCACCTGTTTTTTTAATAGCCATGAGCTAAGAATGGTGTTCGCATTTTTAAATGGTTGAAGAAAAAAGAAGGGTGGGCCAGGTTCAGTGGCCCAGCCTGTCATCCCAGCACTTCGGGAGGCTGAGGTGAGTGGATTGCCTGAGCCCATGGGTTCAAGACCAGCCCGGGCAACTTGGCAAGACCTCATCTCTACAATAAGTCAAAAAATTAGCTGGGTGTGGTAGCGCATGTCTGTAGTTCTGGCTACTTGGAAGGCTGAGGCAAAAGGATCGTCAGAACCCAGCAGGTCAACACTGGGGTGGCCATGAGTATGCCACTGCACTCCATGTGGGTAACAGTGAGACTCCAGCCCCCATCCCCCAAAAAGAAAGAGGAATGTGTGATAGAAACTGTATATGGCCTACAAAATCGAAAATATTCACTATCTAGCCCTTTACACCAAAAAGTGGCTGAATAAAAACCTGGTCACAAGCTGGAGGAGCTACCCCAAGCCCTCCTGCTGTTGCCACCTCAGGGCTGAGCCATGGCTCTCCTTTTAGGTTGTCCCATTGTCCAGGTGACACCCACAAGTCACAGGCTCCCCACTCCAGGCCCAAGTCCCGGGGCCCAGGCACTGTAACCTTTCCCTCATCCTCCACTCATGCACCAGCATCCTCCACTCATGCACCTCCACTCATGCACCAATGAGTCAACCAGCATCATCCCTGCCCAAGTCTCCATGTCTCCTCTGTCCTTCCCCTCTTCCACTGGGTCTCCGGCTAAGCCTGTCATCCATTCCTGTTTCAGTGATGGCGCGGGAAGAACAGGCACCTACATCCTCATCGACATGGTACTGAACCGCATGGCAAAAGGTAAGGCATGCCCCGATGATGCCCGCAGCCCCCAGGCCCTTTGTAGTTTCCCCAGCACCCAAGGTCCCAGGAGCTCACAGAGGAGCAGGTTGTCACACCTCCAGGCTTTGCCCAGTCTTCCAGGTCTCCCACCTTAGGATGCCCCAGACTTTCTGGGTCTCGCCTTCCTTTGGACACCCCCTGAACAGTCCTGTCCCCTCCCTCATCTCCAGGAGTGAAGGAGATCGACATTGCTGCCACCCTGGAACATGTCCGTGACCAGCGACCTGGTCTCGTCCGCTCTAAGGTGACCACGCCTCCCTACCCTAACTAGCTGCCACCCTTCCCTAGCACCCGCTCTTGGCCACCCTGGGGAAATCAGGAGCAGCCTGCCTCTCCTGCCTGCCTCAAGGCCTCCTCCAGGAGGACCGCCTCCCAATGGACCTGCCCAATCCGCCTTCCCCCCCCACCACTACTTCCCCCTAGGGCAAAGGCCAGGCCTCTCTGTGACCCTCCTGCCACTGCCTTCCCCAGGACCAGTTTGAATTTGCCCTGACAGCTGTGGCAGAGGAGGTGAATGCCATCCTCAAGGCTCTGCCCCAGTGAAACCCTGGGGACACTTGGTGGGCAGCCCAGCCTCCGCGCCCTCTCTGCCTGTGTGAGCATCTGTCTGTGTACCCACTCCTCACTCCCTTGCCCACCACCTCGGCCGCTCTTGGGTATGCCCAGCCCTTCCAAGATGAGTCGGGAAGGGGCAGCAGGAAGGGCAGGCCTGCCCAGCCTCATGCATGTTGGAGCCCGGGACATCCCACAGAGGAGCTGGCAGCCAGCGAGGAGGAGAGGAAAGCACGTGGGCAGCAGTTCTACCCAGGGCCTTCCTGCCTAAATTCCCTGGCCCTCCCCCTCGTGGTTCCAGATGCTCCTACCAGGTCTGTGTGTGCTCGCCACACTCCAGTATGGAAGGACAGGGTGGAAGGTCGCCACCCCAGCGCCTCCTGCTTTATCAGTCCCTACTGCCCCTGGCCTGCCTCCTAGACCTAAACTTGGCACTCCACAATCCCCGCCCCCACGCCCAGGCCTCCTCCCACTGCCATCCTGCCACATGCTGCTCAACCTGTCTCCTTCTGGCACAAGAGAGCACTTCTAGAAAAATCTACTTTTTGTATTAATGTGAATAAAATTAGTGTGTTGTCTGTGCAGCTGCAACCCAGCCTCCTACGCATTTCTGTCTGCTGTGCTTGCAGACTCCAGCCCCAGCCCCAGCCTCAGCCTGGAGCTGGGCCCTGCTGCGTCTCTCAGGAGGTGCCAGGAGTGTGATAGGAGGGCCCAGCTGCAAGTGAACAGCAGCTAATGACAAAGAAGCAGCTATTCTTTGATGCTGTGCTTCCTATGTGACTGGCAGTCTCCAAAGTGCTTTAATATTAGCTGGTGTAATCTTCACAATGCTACCACTGAGTAGTCCCATTTTGCAGATCAAAAGACAGGCACAGAACTTGCCCAAGGTAACACGACTTGTAAGCGCTGGAGTTAGGATTCAAACCCAGCAGCTTAACCTCCTTACTGCCTCTCCTCTAGGTTCTTGGGCAGCTGCTTCGTGCCCTCCAGCTTCAAGAATAATGTACATCATGTAGGATTAAGGTTAGGTCTGAATGAGGCAAAGTGCTTGCCACACCTTACGCAAAACTATAGCAAAACTGAAAGCCACTCTAGGCCAGGCCTGTGAGATGCCTGGACAGGTGTTCACCCGGGGTAAAGGATACTTCCTTTCTGTCTCGCTCCAGCTCTCAGAATCTTCCACCCTGTATGGTGCCAGAAGGCTTTCTCACTTGCATGTCATGAGGTGTCCTTGGACAGAAGTGGTAGATGTAGAAACAAGGCAAAAAGAGCCTTGGGCCCGGGGCTGCTTGGGAGTTAAGTCCACTCACCTGAGCTGAGGCTGAGGGTCATTAAATGAAAAATAGGGCGAATACCATCTGCTCTGAGCAGGGAGTGAAGGAACCAGCCACCCTCCCACTGTCTCATCTATGCTCTGCTAGGCTCAGCTCCAGTGTTAGGCATCTCAAAGGCTAGAAGTAGATAAAACCCATTTTGCAAACTTCCAGCAGATTATCAGTTTCTCAGAATGGAGGCTTGAAACTCCCTCTTTCAGGGAAGGCTGCTGCTTTGCTTTGAGAAAAAATATAGGCCCCCTGGCTTTTTTTTTTTGAGTCATACTCTCATTCTGTCACTCAGGCTGGAGTACAGTGGCTCGATCAAGGTTGATAGCAGCCTCAAGCGATCCTTCCACCTCAGCCTCCCTAGTAGTTATTTTTTAAAAAAATTTTTTGCAAAGATGAGGTCTTGCTATGTTGCCCAGGCTGGTCCCAAATTCCTGGGTTCAAGCAATCTCCCTGCCTCAGCCTCCCAAAGTACTGGGATTACAGGCATGAGCCACCATGCCTGGTCCCCTTTGGCTACTGACGCTGAAGCAAAGATCCCATCCTAAAATGGAAGCAAGGCCACCAGGAGCTACACAGCCCTGCCTGACAAAGGTACTTGTCCTGTGACTGGAGATGGAAGGGGAAGGGTGGTTGGCTTTTTCCTCCCTGGGTACTGATGAGTTGGGGGCTTGGACCCTAGTGGGCTGAATTCAGGCGGCTCCACATGCCCTTGGCTTACATCTCAGGCTGAGCTAAGGAAACCTCTGTGGGCCCTGGGGGTACAGTTTAAAGGTTTTGCCATGTGTTACCGGCTTTCTATGGTCCCCCTGCTTTTGGTCAAGTCTTAGTCTGGTCCTAGCTGTATTGGATGGTGGGTCCCCTCATAAGGGGAACAGAAGCTGACAAGGAAAGGGAAAGCCAGTTGTGGAGCCCCAAGAGGTGAAGACAAAGGATGTAAGCATTTCTTAGGGCTCCACAACATACTTGAGGTGGGAAACCTGGTCAAAGAGGGGACGCCTGCCTTCAACTGGCAAGGCCTGTACCTCTGGCTGTTTGGGAATGAAGGGAGGTGTGAGGCCTAAAGGGTCTCCCACTGGGCCATCCCGGAAAGTAGCAGCACAGGAACACAACGCACCACTGAGCTCTCAAAACTCAGCTTTATTGTCTTCCAGTGTTTCCCTCTCAGTCTGAGCTCAGCCCAGCTGACTCTGTTAGGTCTCTGAATCTCAGTGTTACACAGGCTGGCTCAACCACTCCCCTCTCTGGCCACTGGGCTCCCCAGGCAGGGAGGAGGAGAAGTGACTTGTCTGTGATGTTGGAGAGAAAGAATGGGCAGCAGGGTCAGAGGCCAAAGAAAGCCAAACAAGCAGCAGCATGCCCGGAGCTCCCATCACACGCCAGTCCCGGCCACATACACACAGCCCCCGAGGGCGAGGGTGGCCTTCCCTTCCAAGATCCACCAGCCCACACCCATCAGCTTTATGGTGCTACGCCCAGCTAACTGCCTGGTTTGTTCCTTGGCCCCAGGCTGCCCCCCACCCCCGGAAAAGGGCCTCTCTCAGATGTTCCAGGGCTTTGCTTTGCCCACTCTAACCCTAGGGCTAGCAAGGCATGTCAGGGGAACCAAGGCTCGGATCACTCCCCCTTCATCCATGTCCTCGCCAACCCTCCAGGGATAAACCAAAAGATCTCCCTGTCTCACAGCGAGTGGCAGGCCAACCTGGGCTGGAACTACATGTCCCAAGATGCACAGCTCCATAACCACGCATCACTTTCCCCAAGCGTGATCTATCAGAAACGAGGTCGGGTGCATTGCACTCTGGGATTTGTAGTCCCCAAGAGTCAACACCAAACACCCAAGGAAGAGAGTGCATAGGCTAAGACTACTGACACCTCCTACCTGGGCCCCACCCACCACCCAGGCCCCAGCTCTACACTTAGCATGGGCGGGAGAGGAGTAGAGAGTCCCCTCCCAGCGCATGGAGGAGGGCGCTGTCCTGTTGGAACTGTGCGGCAACTCGGGATCCCGGACATCCAGCTCAGAACACATCTGGGGAGAGAGCGGGAGCGGGTGACAGGAGAGAGGGTCAGCAGCAAGCTGTGGAGGATGAAGCCAAGCATGCAGACCTGGGCTGGCCGAGTAGCCTCTCCCTGAGTCCTGATGCATGGTGGGGAAGGAGTACAGGGTACAGTCCCCTCTTAGACCTCCCTCCTGGGTCACCCTGGCCCTATCCCACCTCTTCAGAGTTAGCCAGCCTTGCCTCTGCCTCGTCCTGAGGCTGGGGCAGGCTGAGGCAGCAAGAGGAAGGGAGGAGGAGTGGACTCCGGTTCTGAATCTAGACAGCTGAGAGGCCCCCGCCTCACCCAGCTAGCCTCCCCAGAAGACCTCATGGCCCTACCGGCCCCAGCATCTTCCTTGCCACACTGAGGCCTTCTTGGGGAAGAAAGGAGAAGGGAGTCCCAGCCAGATAGCAGTGAATGCAAGCAATGTGGCCCACAGGGAATTGCTGAGAGAGGAGTAGGAGGAAGGAGGAACAGCACCAGAAGGGAAGTAACAGTCAGAACTCAACGCAGCACAGAAGCCAGGGCAGAGGGGTTTGCAGCTGGACACGGAGAGTGGGAGACATCACTCAGCCTACACTGCTTCTCAGTGTAGCTGCCAGCTTGGGTTCAGAGCATGCAGGCCAAGTCCTCCTTCCTCGGCACCATCAGCAACACAGGTGGCAAAGGACCTGGGCACAGAAGGCCCAACTCAAACCACTAATGCCCCTCGGGAACTCCCCATCCAATAAGTGCATCCTGGTTCCTCAGGCCCTTCCACTGCCCTGATGCCCCCCAACCCTGGGCTTCACCCAGGGACCTATCAGCCCTAGGCTGAGCACAGCAAGTCCCAAGTCCACACTGGAGTGCAGGTGGGCCTGGGAGGGAAACCTGTGGAGGGAGCGTAGTGTTAGAAACGGACTCCTGCACCTCAGTCACACTCCTCTCTGCTCTCCCGGCAGTGGCCAGACTCCCAGCCAAGACCCCGTCGGGGTCAGGCTGGGACTCCTGTTCAGAGAATGAGGCAGCGAGAGGCCTTCTCCTCTGGGGATGGGCTGGGTTTGGCTGCCTCACCCCTTGCACCCTGCTGGTTTCCCCCCGTGCCCGGATCTTGGCGCTGAGTCTTGGACCGCCCCTGCTGTCGTCGCTGCGCCTCCCGCCCACCTGCCGGTTTCTTCCCAGCCGCCTCCATCTCTGACAGACTGTAGGCCATGGCAAGCTGCAGGTCTTCATCCTCAGAGAGATCGCTGTCCAAGGGGCGTGAGACAGGGGTCTGTCGGGCCTGAGTACCCTCGGACCTGGAAGTCACTGACTGTTGCTGCTCACGTCGGCTCAATTCCAAGCCCAGCGCCAGGTCATCTGGGACACCTGCAAGAGTCACGGCCACCATGAAGTCCCTGGCCCAAGCCAAGGGCACCTCGCCGAGCTGCCGCACTCAGTGATGACTCTAACCACTTAAAGTCTCTCGTCTGGAATTGGCACACATACATTTTGGCCCCTGGGGTAGTGATTATGAGCATGATAAGAGCCCATCTCCTTGGGCAAGTTACTCAACCTCCCTGTCCGCACCTACGATGTAAAGGATGAGAGTGCCTACATACTCAAATTGTTCCAATGATTAAGTACAACAGCTCATGTAAAGTACTTGGTGCACAGTACTCCCAGAGTCCGTAGGCATGAAAGGTTAGCCATGGCGACAGTCTTGTACAGCATGGTGTTTTTGGAAGAATTCTGCCCTAGGAATCATGAATCCTGAGTTTAACTCTTGGCTATACCCCTTGGTAGGGAAGAGTTTTGGGCCTGGGCTACTTGGAAGTAAGGGCCATTTAACTAGTCTCTTCAAATAAAAATCAGGCAATTACAATCTGCCATGCTCACTCCCCTGGATGCTTTAAGAATACAGAGGATACTATGTATACGCAAGTGCTTTAAAAACAGCACAGTGCTTTGCAAATGTAAGGCACCCCACTCATGGAGACAGTGATCAGCTGGTCCCTGAGACTCCTCTGCCCCCTTCCCCAGGATCGCCATCTCTGATCCTGATAACTGGCCTGTGGCTGCTGCTCCCCCCCAGTCCCAAGGAAGTCCAGAGTGCAGCTGTTTGGGGAGGGGGTTCAGCGGCTGAGGCTTTGCCAGAGATGGGTGATGGAGCCTCTCCTCACCATTGATTGTGATGGACTTCAGCTGCCCGTCCTCCTCCACTTCAACCCGTTCCTGTCCATTCTCCATGATTCTGTGGGAGAAGGCACAGTTCAGGCAGCAAGCAGTGACTAAATTCTGCAGGCACAGGACCCAACTCTAGCTACCAGAGTGGACAGTGCAGCCTGGGCTCTGCCCTCAAGCTGACTTTCTATCTGTACACAGCTCCCACCTCCAGCCCTTCAACCCAGACCCCTCTTCTCCTGCATGGCCCCCAGAGGAGCCCTCACCTGCGTGTTGTGATGCGGTGCCCTTGGACAAAGGTGGTAGATGTAGAAACAGAACGAAAAGCACCAGCCCCAGGACTGAAGGAGAAAGATGAGGAGGAGAAATCTGGCATCGGGACAAAGGAGGAGGAGAGGTGGTTAGAAGAAGGCTGTCCACTGCCTGCCACAGTCACCAAGGGCCAGGAACCTCAGTGGGACTTCTGCCGAGCTGCACAAGGCAGGGCTTGATACAGGGGACAGGACTGGAAAGCAACAAGCTGATGCCAGAGGTTCCAGGACTCAATATGCAAAAATGGGAAGGGGTAGCGCTTACCGGAGTGCCCAGGGAAGGAGGAGGAGAAGGAAAAGAAGGGGCCCGAGTGTCGGGAACCCCGGTTCTGAAGCTCTGAGAAGGGGCCCAGGTCATCTGCAACAAGGAAGCAGATGATTATCTGGTGAAGAGATTCTCCCCCAAACACGTGTGAACCCTAAGTCTGGAAATACAAACTGCTAAGCAACTGGGCAGGGGTTTTTCCCCCATTTTTGGCTGGACTTATTTACAATTAAATTCCTTTTTAATGTTACATATGAAAACATTCACTGGTTAATTCTGTCCACAGTAAAGAACAAAGGAAGGAAGGGGGAAGGGAGAGAGGAACGGAGAACAGATAGCTCTTTCAGTCTGGACAGATCATCATAATGTGATGACAGGGAGACACAGCTATGAGTCCAGCTCTGCCATTTGCTGTGTGACTCTAAGCATGTTATTTTTGCCTCAGTTTTCTCATCTGCAAGTGGGGATACAATTACCCACCTCTCAGGGTTCACCAGAGGACTAGGGGATGTAAAATACTTGGCACATATTAATCATTCAAAAAAATGATATCTGTTGTTATGTATGATGTTACTATCATTGTCACAGGATGCTTTGAGTCTTGCTTTCATGGCTGTTATTGTAGAGGTCTAACAATGTATTATTGTTGTTGTTTAATAAGGTGAGTTGGTGAAATGTCATTATTGGATCACGTGGGTTCTGGCATGTGTGAGATTCTATGCCAGCTCTCACTGGACTCAGCCCCACAAAATATGTCTGTGGCATTCTCCTTTCCTCTCAGCCTCCTGCCTAAGGGCCTCCTAGCTGATAGGCGAACAAGTTTGAGGGGGAAGTTGAGTCATTCAGAGGCCTCCTGAGACCACTTACCAAAGAGCTCTGCAAAAGGGTCTCCACTTCCAAAGAACTCCTGGAAGACCTCCTCAGGGCTGCGAAAGGTGAAGGTAAAGCCAGGTCCACCACCACCAGCTTCTGCCTGAGATGGGCCAGTGCCTGGAGAAGCAGGATGAGGAGGGGGCTTAGGGCCTGCACCTTTCCCTGAGCCAGGGGACCCCACCTAAGGCACGGCCAGCAGCCTCAGAGAGAACGTCCATTGTAAGAATCTGCTCTCCCCTCTCCTCCCTACCCCACTTCTATTCCTAGGCCCGGTGGATATACCTACCTGCCCCCGTCAGCCCTTCCCGGCCATAGCGGTCGTAGATCTCCCGCTTATGCTCTGCAAAGAGAGACCAGATCATTTCTCCCTCCCTCTGGGATGATGGGCTCCCCTCCCAGGATAGGACCCTCAGAGGATTGCCCAGAGACTGAAACTTGGGGGCAGCAGGGTATCCAGGGGACAAGGGCTATAGGTTTTAGCAGCAGCTCTGCCCATCACACAGCAGACTCCTCCTCATCTGTGAAATGGGTATAATCACAGCACCTACCTCATAGGGTTGTAGCAAAGGTTAAATGAATGAGATCATTCATGTAAACTGCTTTTCATGAATGTCTGATGCATAGGACATGTTTAATAAATATTAGCTCATTACTAATATATGTTATTGTTAACCAAGGTTCAGACTAAAGGTCACCTCCTCAGAGAGGTCTTCTGCGACCACATAACAAAAGCAGGTGTCCATCATTCCCTACTCCTTCACCCAGCTGCTTTCCTTTGGAATTCGCTTCACAATCCGCAATTGTGCCTATGTATTTGCCTGGTTAGTGGCAGTCTTCCCTGACCGGAGGATAATGACCCCTCAGGACGAGGACAGTGACTGTTTGTCTGCCACTGTTTCCCCAGTACTCAGCAAGTGCCTGACACTGTAAGCACTCAGTGAATACTTTTTGAATGAATGAATAAAAGAGAGATATGGATTCATATTCCAGCTCTGTGTGGTCTTGAGTCAGTTATTTCACCTTTCTCCGCCTCAGTTTCCTTGCCTGGAAAATGGGGGTGATAAAACCAGCCTCGTAGGTTGGCTGTGAGGACTCATGGAGATTACAACCACCACCGCACAGAGGGGGCTCAGTACATATCGGTGACCTGCCTTGCTTCCTTTCCCTTTCCAGAACTCATGTCATTCCTACCAGACCCTGGGGAGCAAACACTGAGCTGTCCCTGCAGAGGGGAACACTTAAGTGTCAGGCTGGAAAAAAGACACATTGGAGTCTGAGGCATGGTCCTGGGGAGGCATGAGACGAGACATGAGACAGGGCAAGAAGTTGGGGGGATATGCAGGTCCATGCTCTGATCCCTGACCCCCAGCTCTTACGGTCAGACAGCACTTCATAAGCCTCAGCCACCTCCTTAAACTTCTTCTCAGCAAACTCTTTATTATCTGGGTTCTTGTCTGGGTGCCACTGGAGAGCCTTCCGCCGATACCTGCAGAAAGTGGGTTCAGAGGCTAAAATTTGTCCCCTGCATTCAGGGCACAAATGCAGGCACTTTCCACCAGGAACCAAGAGACCTGCTTTCCCATTAGCCCACCACTGATCTTTCAACTGCGGGGTCCCAGTCCACCCCAGCTGCTAGGGCTGCCGCTGCTGTGTTTTAATGGAGTTCGCCCCCCTCTCCTTGCTGCCAGTGCTGGGACTATACGTGTAAGCAGATAGCGTGAGGGTGAGAAAGTCTGTCCTCCTCCCTTCCTGAGGCACACTGGACCGGAGCTGCAAAGATTAGGGGCACATGTGGCCTCTGAGGGTACAGGGACACTGGCCCCTCCTCCTCACAGAGCCTGGGCGTCTTTGCACTACATCCTGAGAAAGCCCACATCTAGGGGTTGGGAAAGGAGAGGAGGGCCCGCTGGAGAAGGTCCCACAGTGCAGCTCCTGGAACTTCACTCTCTGGACTTTGTCCTCCTACTCTTCCAGAGGTCTCCTTCCTTCCTACAAATATGTCACCCTTCAATACTTTCTAAGGCTCTGGTTCCCTTGGACCCCGATAGAAGTTACCCTGAAGTACCCCCACGGCGGCGGGGGACGAGGGTGAGAGGTTTTCTGATGCACACGGAGGCACTTACGCCTTCTTGATGTCATCAGCGGACGCACTTCGCGGCACGTCTAGGATCTCGTAGTAGGATGCCATGGCAACTCGTCAGTAGTCAGGCTGGCCTCCTTGGGGCTGCAGGAGAGAAGGGGTCAGGCGGAAAGAAGCAGGAGTCCCTCCCTGCGGCTACAGACCCCCGGGGAGGCGCTCAGCTTGAGGCGGTGGCAAGCCTCGCTCTGGCAGCCTTATCTGCCACCGCAGGCCGGGGCCAAGGGCTATCTCGGTGCCCAGGCCCGGGGAGCCCTGTCGGGGCCCCCTGACGCCAGCAGCTCGGCCCAGGGTCCCCAGATTGACCAGGGCCCCCGGCCGCACCTCCTCCGCCGAGATCCCCGGCCTCCTGCGGCGCCCCGCCCCTGTCCCCGCCGGAACCGTCTGGCACCCGCAGCCCCGCTCGCGGCTGCTGCGGAGGACGCGCCGGACCAGCTGTGCGCGCAGGCATGCGTCAGCGGGAAACTACTAGAGACCGGGAGAAGGCCGGTTCGGCCTGTCCCCCGGGGGCGGAGAGGTGAGCTGCAGGGGCTGCCGGGAGATAGGGGCGGGGCCAGCTATTTTGGGCTTGCTCCCGGACGACGTCATCCCCAGATGGGACCTGCTGGAGACTGCTGCCCCCTGCATCCAGGCTGACGCACTGGCACAAACACAGAAGCAGGGGCAGACCACAAACAAGCCGCCGGGCCCCTCTGCCGCTTGCTTATAAACTTACGCGATGATCCTTGGTTACTCACCCACCTCGAGGACTCACAGACTCCCCGCTGGGCCTAGGTCCTCCCCCATCTGCAGCTCCCTGCTGCTGCTCCAGCTCCTCCAAAGAGGCTGCCCTGGCTTCCCTGAGTAGGTCAGACCTCTTTTAATAGCATCTCATGGCATTTCCTTCATTACGCCTGTCACAGCCACAAATTACCGTTTATTGGTTTGATTATTTGATTACCATTCACCTCCCCTACCGAATGTAAATTCTGCAGGGCAGGGACTGTGTCTTTTTTCTCACTAATGTATCAGGGCAGCAGCCGAGGTTCAAAAATATCTGTGGGATGATTAAATAATGAACAAATGCAAACCTCTCGTTGACAGTTTTAACACATTTGGAGGAGGTGGGGGAAAGGGAACAGTAAAAGGGAATTCCCCAGATTCAAATCTTCCCAAATGGATTCTTAGTAGGCCTATTCCATCTCTAAATGATTCCTGGATTGAGGCCTCATGGGAGAATTGGGAACCTTCCAGAATTGGTTCCTGCTTGATACCACCCAGACCAATTCACAAACATTAGTTGAGCAGTCTCTATGTACTAGATGCTGCCAGGATGTTTGAAGAGTGTGATCTAAGCCCTGCCTTCACAAAGCTTGAACTTTATAAGATATCAGCTCATCAGTATAGCCTGCTGGGAAACATGGAAACCTTGGAAAAAAGTCAGATCTGGGTTTACAACCTAGCACTGCTGTGTGACTTAGGTAAACCTCTGAGGATTCAGTTTTTTCTCACTAAATATAGTGAGAAATACAGGTAATGCCTAGGTTTGTTTGAAAGTCAAATGAGGCATGGTACATAGTAGGTGTTATTAGTATAGTCTGCTCTGGCTTCACGATTGGCCTAAGCAGGAATGATTATGTGAGTCCAGAATTTTTTTTTTTTTTTTTTTTTTGAGTTGGAGTCTCACTTTGTCACCCAGGCTGGAGTACAGTGGCACACTCATGGCCACCCCAGCATCGACCTGCTGGGTGAGCTCCAGTGATCCTTCCGCCTCAGCCTTCGAAGTAACTGGAACTACAGACGCGTGCTACTATGCCCAGCTAATTTTTTGATTTATTATAGAGACAAGGTCTCACCATGTTGCTCAGGCTGGACTTGCACCTGCGGGCTCAGGCAATCCTCTCACCTCGGCCTCCCAAAGTGCTAGGATTACAGGCTTGAGCCACCATGCCTGACCCAGAAAAGTGTTTTAAGCTGGCTGACCTTGGAACACTTTACCAATGATCAGGGCTTGAGTTAAGCATGAGAGGAAAAGGTGGTGTGAATGTGTCCAGTTTTCCTGGCCGCCAGCCATCTGAGCCTCCTCTTGCCAGTATCTGGGGACTTCCTGTTGCATGAGTCCTAATGGGAGACAGACCATCATTTGTCACAAAGCCCCAACGCTTGCTCTCCCAGACTTCTCAGCTCTAAGGTTTCAGGCAAAAGGCATAAGCTTTGCCAATCAGATGCTCCAACTGGGACTTTGAATCTGGAGCAAGACACAGACGCAAGGGCACTTGAGATTTCATTTCTGCAGTGGTGGGATGGCATTGGAGCCAACAGTGGCCTCTAGTGTCTGAAGGAGGAAATGTCGCTCAGTTTGAGTTGGGGTGGGGGATCACTGCAGGGGGTGGAAGGGACAGGAGTCACCTACATAGGTTGTCCTGTGTCCTAAACTTGACTATGATTCTGGCTACCCAGCTTCCCTTGGTGCCTGCCTGTTTGCTGACCCTTGTTTGCTGGTCCTTGCATTGACTGTGGTATCTCATTAATTGAGGGGGAAGGGGGACTTTTAAAAATTAGCTAGCATTGGCTTCTGCTGTTTGCAAGAGAACTGATTGACCCAAAGACTAAAGACTTAGACTTGGTATAAGAGGAGGCAGTGGTTAGGTTAAGTCACTCCAAAATCTTCCAAATCTCTGCCTTTTTCCTTCTTCTCTCATCTCAACAGGTATTTATCTAGTACTTACCATGCATGTGATATTACCTTAAGAATAAGACTACAAAGAAGTTTAAATTCCAATCCGTGTGCTCAAGGAGATAAAAATTTAGTTGGGACATAGACAAATGAAATTATGTGGATCACATCTAGCAGACAAAGGCTTAATTTCCTCTGTTTACAAAGAAATCCAATAAATTAATAAAAGACAAACACTATAATTTTTAAATAGGCAAAGGGCACAGATGGCTCACAGAAGAGGAAATACTGATTTTTAAACATGAAAAGGTGCTCAATTTCATTCATAACAAGAGAATTATAAATAAAGCCTACAACAAAGCGTTTTGTTTCACTTACTGGATGATTTGACAAAGATAAAAATAGTTTAATATATTGTATGGGCAGGGTTGTGAGCATTCTCACACATTGGAGTGGGAGGGTAGGTAATTTGGCATGACTTCTAAAGAAAGCGATATGGAGAATATCAAAATTAACAGTGCATAGCCTTTGTACCAGCAATTCCAAGTCTAAGAATTTATGAGTATACATATGTGCAAAGAAGTGTATACAAGGATTACAGCATTCTTTTTAATAGCAAAGACGGGACACAACCCAAATACCCATTAATAGCATACTGAAATATATGATGGTACACCATACAAAGGAATAGTACATTGTCACCAAAAAGAATGAGGCATAGTTATAGGCACTGATATGGATCATCTTCCAGATTTATTGCTAAGTGAAAAAACAAGGTGTAAAACAAAATGTATGCTAAGTGTGTATACACACACAGTAGTGCAGTGAAGCATCCCTAATCCAAAAATTCAAAATCTGAAATGCTCCAAACTCCAGGATCTTTTGAGTGCCAACATGACTCCACAAGAGGAAAATTCCACACCTGACCTCACATACACAAATCTTGTTTCATGCACAAGATTATTAAAAATATTGTATAAAATTATCTTCAGACAGTATGTATAAAGGGTACATGAACTTCATGTTTAGACTTGGGTCTTTTCCCAAGAAACACACACACACACACACACACACACACACACACACGCACGCAAATATTCCAAAATCCAAAACACTTCCAAAATCCAAAATCTGAAATCCAAAACACTTCTGGTCCCAAGCATTTTGGATAAGGGATATTCAACCTGTATATATGTAGATGTCTCTCGAAGAAAACAGTAACAAAAATATTTACAGTGGTGACTGCCAAAAGGGGAACAAGATGAAAGAGATTTATTTTTCCTGTCTGTAAATCTCTTTGATATATTTTGAATTCTGAAGCATATGCATATAATCACTGTTCAAATACATACATAATTGCTAAAAATTTCATTAAGGAAATAGAACATTGACAAGAAGCCGGATGCCAAGTCAGTGATAGAGACAGATGGTAGGTGCTAAAAGAATCCAGAGGAGGGAGAGCTCCCCAGAGATAGATTGTTCTGGATGACTGTGACCTAAGCTGGAAGGAATGGCAACATTGAGACAAGCAGGGGAGGTGGCGTAACCGAAGGAGGGAATGGTGAGAACATAGCTTTGGAAGCCTGTGCGTTCCTGCCACATCAGAAGCCAGGGAATACATTCATTGGGTGGAATCCAAACTGGAAACCTGTCTCTTGTGTCTGCCTGCAGAAGGTAATTGCACCCTGACTTTAGAAGCGACAGGGATGAAAGCATTCCCCTGCACCTAGGGAGTCCCCCAAGCCAGGCTGGGTGGTGCCCCCAGCTGCCACAGGAGGCCTGGGTTGCCACCTCTGCACACCCACACCCAGTCCAACCCAGGCCTGCCAGGGCCTGTCAGCAGGGTTATTAGCTGGGAGGCCTTCCTGGGTCTGAGAAGAGAGCCCACACAGTGGCCCAGGGTGTGCTTGCTGGTACAGCAGGCAGCAGAGGTATAGGAGGTCTCTCTGGAAACCCAGCCATCCTAGCAGGGGAAGATCCCACCTCCCTCTTGGTCGTCCTCCTGGCATCTCCAAGACACTCATCCCACTTTTGATAAGATGGCAGGGGATGCTTCCCCAAGGACACTTACAGCCCTAAAACCCGGCCCCAAAGAAGCCTCTGCCTTCATCCAGACCCAGAAGCTAGGACTCTGCCCCCTACTTTGATGCTCTCCACCCCAGATCCAGGGCAGGGTAGTGTCAAGCGTCACTCCCTCCCTGCCCTCAAGGTACCTGAGTCACTGTCTGGGCACTGGGGACCTGACAGGCCCAGAAGAGGAGCATCTGGAAGGGTGCTGGAACTGCTGTGGGCAGGAAGTGAAGGCACCTGAGGAAACAGGGGCAGCAGCGTAAGCTTTGACCCAAGCTGACCTGGATCTGAATTCCAATTCCTTCAAGCTAGGTAACCTTGGGCAGGTCACATAATTTCTTTGAGTCTCAGTCTCCACATCTATAAAATAGGCATTTGTTTAACAAGTTCATTCAACAAATATTGGACATCTAATATGCCAGGAAACACTGGGGTATTGAGAATAGCAGAGTGAAAAATAGGCCAAGGTCTTGTTCCCTCCAGCTTCCATTCCAGTGGGCATAATAATTGTACTTACCTCAGGATTAAATAAGGTCATGTGGTTACACGGCCTAGCATATGGTAGATGCTCAATAAATGACAACTCTGTCTTGGGGTTTGACGGGCTCCCAGAATAATCCCTCTTCCTTCCTAAGCTTGAAACCAGTTGAGAGAAAGACTCAGGAGTCAGACAGATGGAGATTGAAAAGCCAGCCCTTTTAGAAAGGGAAAATGAATAGAAGGGTATAGCTGAGTTATTCAACCAAAATGGGCTTCTAAATATGCTTTCCGAATTACATTCCCCCCAACCCCCTCACTACCC